CCTTGGCTTGATGATTGTAAAATCTTTTTAATGAAAGCGAGTACACAGGAATCAATACCATTGGTTTTTGCTGTGGAAACTTACTTATTACAATTATCATACTTACTACTGATAAAATGATTCACTACTTCTCATATTTCGTAGAAAGAAAAAGTCAGTCGGCTTTTTCCGTGACCTCCCCTGTTATATATGTGAAAAATCCCTTTTCCAGTTTTTCATAATCCTCTACTCCTGTTTATCCGATTGTTTGCACAGTCTCAGTTCTATGAGATTAACTCAAGTGGCTTTATGCTAGTCTGTCGCGGTTGGTGCGGGAGTAGACGTATGTTAATTTTAAACAATATGAAAGGAAAGTGTCATGGCCGCAAAGTTCTGGGCTGCCTATTTCAGGAAAGGAATACCTGACATAGGCAACTGAAGGAGCACCTCTTTTCATTTGTTGAATTCTGGGACTGCGTTCTCGGCTGCCAAGAATTGTTATATTCTGAAAGAAGATGAGTTCACAGCTGTCCCATTTAATTTTGCTCGGCGATTTGGTTGTTTCTTCGTGCTCTTGACTCTCGAAAGACCTAAGAACTAAGTAATTTAAGAAGAAGCTTGGCAACTAAGACTACCAGCTCTGGTAAAAATATCGTATGAAGGGTAACGAAAGGTAGGGAGAATTAAACAGTCAAAAAGTGGTGCAGCGTTAGTTCAAATTAAGAAGACCATCTAAATAATGTTTTCTTGCATAGTTTGGTGATTCAGCTTTTTTATCACAAGCAGGGTCCCTAAAGGCATCAGATGTCGATAGATTTGTAGACTTTCTATAGGCAGAACAGCATTTCCACAGTCCTACTTCATTAATGGCTAAACACGGATGACCTGTTGAATCACACCGGATATTTCTTAGCGCAAACGCCAAAGAACTTAATGCTAACAAGTCTGAATAGAATCAAACTGGTGTCGGTGTACGCTCACGTGATTTGCAAAATGCAGTCAACATATTTTATGAAGTATACCTCTGTACCTTAGCATAATAGGTGGAACAGTAATACTTTCAAAAGTTTAGGCATGCTGTATCACACAAAGGTTATTGATGACCTACCTGCCTCACAATGTCAAGAAACGCGTCAGGCTGAGATTCCTAGCGTCACCTCATC